TCTGGGTTCTGCATCATTCGTTGCGCGGCCTCTGCGATGGGGTTGGTCTGACCACCTTGCGCGCCAGCGCCACCGAACAGGTTTGGAAAAGTGCTTGAGGCGTCTTGTGTATTTTGTGGCGCACCAGTGTTTGCGCCCTGCTGTTGCTGAGGGGTGAATGGATTCTGACCTCCCGCGAACAGGCTAGCGAATGGGTTGGCTCCGGCTCCAGCTCCGGCTCCAGCACCTCCACCAAAGGCTGCAAAGGGATTTGGGGGGGTGTTTGTGTTAGTCTGGTTAGGTGTTGCGGTGACGCCTTCGCCTGTTGCCGTAGAACCTGATTGTGGTGTGTTGTCTGTAGCACCAGGCGCTGGGAAACTAGGCGGAGCACCAGGCGCACGTCCACCCATGTTCCGTTGCATTTGTAGCTGCATGCGCATCATCTCCGGGCTAAACATCATACGGCGCATTTCGGGGTCTCGCAGCACTTGTTGAAGCATCGGGTTGTCACGGATCTATCGTGTGTCAGTCGGAGTGGATACAAGGCTGACAGGAGACGTACCATGGGACTTTGCAACATCATATCGACTACCGCTGGGTTGTTCATAGCCTCGTTTAGCTGGGACAGAAACATTGGGTTCTCCATCTGTTCGAGCATGGACTCGGTAGTCGGTGGTGGGCCCATCTGGTGTATGTCAGTATGATTTCCCTACGTCGTATAGATTTGAATGAACTCACGCCTCCGTCTGGACCAAACATGTCCATGCCAGGCAAGCCATGAAAGCCGGCATAGCGCGCACCAGTGAGTCCCGCAAGAGGATTGTTGCCTGTTCCGGCGGCAATGTTGGTGGGTACCTGAGGAGTAGGTGTGGTGCCCGTGCCAGCAGTGCTTGCAGTGCCCTGGCTTGCGGGGTTCTGTCTCGCATTACTGGCAGCGCCCTTGACAAGATGTACTGTGTGCCCATCCTTGATCTTGACGCTTGCCAGTGTGTCAGGGTCCTTGAGCACGCGGCCCGAATATATTAGACGTTGCCGGTCAGCGGGAACATCTGCGTATTCCGACGTCGAAAGTTTGGCCTTGAGGTCGGCGACGGTGGTGGTACTGGGCAGAGTGAGGACATGCTTCTGGTCGTTTGCGGCCTTGACATTGAAGGTTATCTGCGTTTCCTCGGCGGACGTGGCGGCGTCGTCAGCCATGATAGCTATTTGTTTCGCACGAGCGTGGGTAGCGAAGGAATCGTGTATAGTCTTGGACTACTGGGCGGTGGAAAGAATACTGTGTCTCGGGGGCGAGATACGTGTGCTGGCGAGAAGAACAGGTGTGTTGAAGCAGACGGAGTGGCTGTGAGTGGCCCTGGATTCGATTGGAAGGCGGTAGAACGTCACTGGCCCCCGCCAACACTACCACTTACCCTGGCGTCATTAGCGCGTATCCGTGCATGGCTGTGCGGCTGTCGCTGACTAAGGAAGTACGCCAAGCTTTGGTGGAGCAGGAGCGGAGGTCGTCCGGGGTATGCAAGCCGAGGTATCTTTGGCGCGGAGAAGAACTCGCTGCGGTTATCCATGCCGCAATGGACCGTCTCCGTCTTTCACTCTCGCACTACCTCCTGCCTCTACCCCCTTTGGACTGACGTTTCCGTCTGATATTGGACCCTGAGACTCCATTGACATATCGACACTGCGTTACCACCATCACTCAAACCTACATTTCCTCAATATGAAAGGCATACAACTCAAGGAATATGTTAAGGTAACAATGCCTGATTCGATTCCCTCTTCTGTTTTTGCTAAAAATTACAGGGCCCAGAGGACCTCAAAGTCCTTGACCTACCCACGCCCGAACCAAAACCCAACGAGTACCTAATCGCCATTCACGCCTCGGGAACCAACTTCTTCGATCTCCTCCAAATCCGAGGAAAGTACCAACACCAACCACCATTTCCATGGGTAGCTGGCTCAGAGTTCTCGGGCGTCGTGCTGAAAGCGCCTACTTCTCTCCCTGAAGGCAAGACACCCAAGTTCAAGGAAGGCGACAAGGTCTTTGGTGCAGGACAGGGTGCATATGCGACACATATTGTATCCACAGAAGAGAAGCTCAAGGGTATGCCTGAGGGCTGGAGTTTTGAGGATGCAGCTGGTGTCTTTGTCACAGCACCTACAAGTTATGCTGGGTTGGTTGTCCGGGCCGGAATCAAGAAGGGTATAACTCACCACTAAACACCCAGCTATGATATTGATCTGACACAATTTCAGGTGACTGGGTACTCGTCCACGCCGCAGCTGGTGGTGTCGGTCTAGCCGCCGTTCAGATCGCAAAAGCCTTTGGCGCAACTGTCGTCGCCACAGCCGGTAGCCCGCATAAACTCGACGTCGCGCGGTCATTCGGTGCCGATTACACCGTCTCATATCGCGATGCTGACTGGCCTGAGCAAGTCAAGAAGCTCACGCCCAAAGGCCGCGGCGTAGATATCGTCTACGACCCTGTTGGTCTCATCGCGCAATCCATGAAGTGCACTGCCTGGAACGGACGCTTGCTTGTTATTGGTTTTGCAGCTGGTGATATCGAGAAGATGGCTACCAACCGCATTCTTCTCAAGAATGTAAGCGTGGTTGGATTGCATTGGGGAGCCTACGCGATCCACGAACCGGAAATGCAGGATGTAGTCTGGGATGGTATATTCAAGCTGGTCAAGGAGGGCAAGTACCGAGGAACTGCATTTACGGATCAGGAATATGTAGGTTTGGAGAGTGTTCCTGCTGCGCTAAAGGCACTTGGAGGTAGGAATAGTTGGGGCAAGGTTGTTGTTAAGGTCCCGCAATCCGGTGGAAGCAAGATTTGAGATGCCTCCTACCTCCTATATTTAGCTATTGTATCATGGCCAGTATATTGTTCAACCAATACATTCCATTGCAACCTATTTCCTATCTCTAACAAACCGCACAACCATAACCTCAAGATCCCTACTTCGATCATGCCACGGCGCATTCCTGGGCAGTCTCAACCCCGCCATTTCCCTCGTGTAGCTCTTCTCCACAGACTCTCCATCCCAAATCAACGTCTCCTTGCCCACATCAAACGCCCAGGTCCTCGCACACTCCACAACCGTATCCAATTGATCTATCTTCTCCTTGAACGTCTCCAACACCAATTCCAAGACCTGCAGATCAGGTAAAAAAGAAGTGACGTGTGTGCCCCAGCACTCTGCACTAAGACTCGGGGGCTGACCTGCTGTGCGATCGCTCGCTAGTAGTTTCATTTCGTCTGTTGATCCACGAGAGCGAAAAGGTGCGCCAAATGTAGGGTCGAGACGGAGGTTTTGGTGCGGATCAGTGGATGCAGGGTCGTCGGTCCACGTCCACCAGTCTTGAGCTGTGAGGCGTAGAGTAAGATGAGTTATCTTGCCCGCAAGGCAAACGCGCGAGTGAGATGAACAAGGCTGTGCCCTAATTGATGGGACGGGTGCGCGATCTAGCACGTCGTTGATGGACTGGGGTCGTCTGTCGGGTGTCTTTGTAACAGCGGGTATGAGGACGTTGTCAAAGGAAATGGGGTATTCTCCAGCCTTCCTGCCATCCAAATCCTGGAGAATAAGAGCTTGTCGGGGAACAACGTAGCAATTTTCATGTCGAGCCTGTGCTTCCCACTCTTTAAACGTGTTTCTTAGTCCTCCGTTTTCCAGAGCCATTTGCGGGAGTTTGATGTCCAGTCGCGTTATCTGTGCGAATTGCCAGGGCAGTAAGAGATGCCTCTTCAATGGTTCTGAGAGTTCGGTAATGACAAAGGAGTTTACACGCAGCGGCTTTTCGTATGTCTCCAGATACACCGCTTTGCATGTCAGGAGGAGGTTGAAGGCGATATCGGACGGATAGAAAAAGGCTTTTCGTCCGCCTCCACGATGAAAATAGCGATCTCGACGGATTCCTGGATCGTTGGGTGTTGCAGGCTCGCGGTCTATGGGATAGGATGTCGTGTCTTTGAGAGCGAAGGTGAAGATCAAATCTCGGATCTCTGCCGGGATGAGCGAGTAGAGAGAAGAGTTGCTTTGGTCTTTGACCTCAGAGGGAGATATGGACCAAGCGAGGGGCTCTTTGCACTTGGCTACAATTGGGCATGCTTCAGGTCCTATGTCGGAATCGCAGTTACATTTCAGGTTCAATATTTTGCGTCTCTTTGCAGCTTGCCGTTCTGCTCTTTGACGCGCAAGTGTGCAACCGGCGCAATTGTTGCATCGGCCGGAAGCCATGATTTTAGAGTTTAGGGGTTTTTTGGTTTCGATTGGATTTGAGGTTGTGCAGAGAGAATGAAGACAGAAATTCAATGCTTTTTGATACATGGGCGAGACGTCGCACTAGCGCGTTGTTGCCTTGGACAATCTAGGCGTCGTTAAGGCCACCCGTAATCGGTAATAATAGTTATACCATTGATTCGTGCGCACATCTGCCTAAATTCCATGTTGGCATGAGTGCCATGAATCCATATATTCGGCGAGATTATAGCGAGACGTAGACACGATAAATGAGTATTCGTGCAAGTGCCAGCTACGCTTAGTCCTATCAAAACAGGTCTTCTAAGCTTCACATATATATCCATTCTTCTCAAACAAGTCCCACGGCATGATACCGTATAAGTGCTCGAATCTTTGACAAAACCATAATACTTTAATTCCAGTGTTCGGGATGGTAGACCAGATTACCAACATTTAGAGATGAGATATCGCACTCCATATGTTGGAGAACGCAAACAGTCGAAACGAAGTAGGCGAAAGATCCAGATTGGGAAATTCCAAGAGACCTATCTGAAGCTATGTAGAAGGAGTCGACTAGATCTATCAACTGGCAGTTGCTTTTCGAGGCTCTCTTCAATCCTCAACACGCGCGTAGTCACGAGATTACGTGGTGATCGCTACGTCATGGACATTACTGACATCACGACTTTAACACATAGAGTTCGCCCTTATTCTCATGATGGTATCTAATTATTGAGTTTATTATTCTGGACTTTACTGTGATAGACTAGCAAGATGTCTCAACCACTGATCATTGTTGTTACCGGCTCAAATCGCGGCATCGGCCAAGGCATAATCAAACTCCTTGCCAAAAACCAATATCCACGACCCTTGTGTATCTATGCTACATCTCGCAGCGGTCTAGACCTCCAAATTCAACCGTTTCCTCCAAACGAGATCCGATATGCCAAACTTAACATCTCAGAAACATCCTCCGTCAAAACATTCATCAGCAACACCTTGAAGAAAGATGGCAAAATCGACGTGCTTGTCAACAATGCTGGCGTAAACAACAACCACGACGAGATACCCGAGCTAGCCGAACAAACGATAAACGTCAATTATTATGGCACAAAAGAAATGTGTCGGCTCTTCCTCACCCAAGGAAAAATGAACACAACACCAAGTTCTCGCATCGTAAACGTAAGCAGCACCGCCTCTTCCCTTTCCAATTACAAACCTCCTATACAATCTCATTTTCACTCTGCAAAGTCAGTCTCAGACATCGATGCCCTAGCTCAGGAATACATTTACGCCGTAAAATCGCAAAGCAGGAGGAGGCTGGCTTTGGCGCACCGCCAAAATCATACCAAGTTAGTAAAGCACTTATGAATGCTTTGACTCTTGTCTTGGCTAGAGAGAATGAGGGTGTGGCGGTGAATTGCTGTTGTCCTGGGTGGGTAGATAGTGATATGGGGAATCAGATTGAGAAGCCACCGAAGACGTTGGAGGAGGGCGCGAGGTTACCTGTTAGACTGGCTATAGGTGATTTAGGGCAGGGCGGTAACGAAGATGGAGGCCTGGACAGCGATAGTAGGGAGACGGTTAGCGGAAGGTACTTTGGAAACGATGGGGTGAGAGGTAAAGGGTGGGGAAGAGCAAGGGGGTGGTAATCATCTCAACTAACTATCAATTCAATTTTTTTGGCGCTGATTTAAATACTAATGGAGAAGAAATGATACAACAAGCTCAATCCAAAAACCACTTCGGCACCTCCGGCCCCCAAACGGCTAAACTCTCATCCCCTGCCTCCCCCCACCCAACAGGCGTATCCTCATTCACCAGATCCCCATCCGCATAATGCTCAATCATATTCCCCGTAGTATCCCACCAATAATCAAACAACTGGCTCCCCAGAATATGTCGGCCTACGCCCCAAACACTCTTGTAACCCCGCTGCGCTAACCACTCATGTCCCAGATTCTGCGTGTCGAAGTCGTGAACCTCGAAACTGCTGTGGTGCACATGCGATGTAGGGTTTGAAGACAAGAAGATGGTGTGGTGATCGGTATAACCCGGTCCGAGATCGATATGGGCGAAGATGGCTACGTCTTTTTGCTGAGGGGGCGACACGGGGTCCTCTGAGGGTACTTTGACGTATAAGAAATCAGTGGGTACGATGTTAAAAGTTCGAGTGTACCATTGCATTTCTTCCTGGAAATTTTGCACACAGAGACCGTAATGGCCTAGTTTGTGTACGGCTGCGGGTCCCGGTTTGAAGCGCTGGAAGCGAGCGATGCGCGGCTTGTCTTTTTCGTAGTTTGTAGTTAGGACTTCGGGGAAGGGACCGGGTTCCTTTTTCGTTTGGCCGAATATGAGGTTGATGGGGAAGCCTTCTGGGTCGTGCAAGGTGACCATGGAGCCACCGCCGGGAGCGTCAGTTAATTCTTCGATCGGACTTGCGCCTGGGACTTTGGTTGCCTTTTCTAGTTCGGCGTAGCTTTCGACTTCGAAGCAACCTCCTAGGAACTTCTTTTCGCCTTGTTGTGCATAGTAGACGTATTGCTCGTCATTGTAGCCCTTGAACCATTTCTTGCCCTCGGCTTTTTGGGCTACGCTCATGCCAAAGTCGCGTAGAAACTTTGTGATTTCATCAAGATCTGGATGCTGGTATCGCATATGTACGAGTTTTGTGAGTTTTATTTGCGCGTCGCGATCAATATTTTGTTCTTGTTGCCATTGTCGCAGCGGTTTGCAGGGTTTAGGAATGGCGACAGATTGAGGTACTGAAGATCCACGATTCGGCGAGACTTCGCGACTAGGGTTCTGAAAACATCATTAAAGTGTTCTTGTATAGAGATGAAGAAACATTCCATAAAGCTTGATCATGGAGTGATGCATTCCTACATAAGATGGGAATGCGCAAGAGCGAATGTGGGGCCTTTGTGTAGACATACCGCTGGGGTGATCTTTTCGTTAAGTTCTTCAAAAGTCATGCTGGTTTATATTACTATCTTTTGTACTAATAGGTTGGATGCTAGTATGGTAAAATGAAGCCACAAGGAAAGGAATTTATCTTAACCGTGGAAGTTGTTGCAGCGAGGCTAGTGGGTACATGTATGTGGGGAGGTAGAACGTAATACGCAATGCCGATGTGGGGTCCCGTCATGTTGGTAGTAACGTGCCTAACGCCAAGTTATCTTTGGCAACGGTTCCATGCGGCTCGAATGCTTCAAGTAGTACATACTACCAATACTTTTATAGTGCTTGCAGGTTGAGAAAGTTGAGATTCCATTTTCGACCGTCTAAACACGTGCAAGTCTACTCATTTATCAGTCTATTTGCATCACCGGCCTTTGTTTCCTCCCATCGCATCTTCCATCAGCTGATGTCAATATGAGTTACATGGGGTTGGAAAGCAGTGGGGAGATGGAATACCGGGTACAGGTCACGTGGCGTGAACTATGATTCCAAAAAAAAGTGCAAAACATACGACAGCGGGGATTCGCCAGTGGTCACCCACCTGACTACTAGTCTGCCGGTCAAAGGTTTATCATGTGGGGAGCGGACGAGACCCAGAGCGACATATTTGCCTATGATCGTATGTGAAAAAAATTTTGGAAGTCTGTGGTTGAGATACTCGGTTTCGGGAGCACAAAAGGGAAATGAATAGAGCAAAAAGGCTTCTGATGCACATGAAGAGATAAGTGTAAATTCGTCTACTGTGCAAGCAATAAGAGGCGTATAATCGTTATGGCAGATCTAGTCTTGTTGGTCGGGAATATATAGACTATTTCGGGTGCGCGGATGGAATGCTGACATTGCAACTATTCTGACTTGAAGTTACGGACCCAGTTCCTGGATAGGACTCAAAGCTCGATTATCTCTGACTCTGTAGAGACATGTTTGCTTTCTTCCACAAGTTTGTTCAGCCACGTGCCCAGCCTGAGTGCAGCTTTACTAATCTGCAATTCAACAATAGGAACAGCGCCCGTCGCATATCCATCTGTTCCGAGATCGGTATCATTTCGTACACGCTGGTACACGTAATCACAGTCCCATCGATTACTTTCTCTTGCCCAGGTTGCTGCGCACTTCTCTGGCGTCGAAGGATCCACACATGACAGCCACATGTATGGTGCAGAGTAGAATTCATCTTTCCGAATGCGCGAAACAAGGCCGGTAAAGAATGCATCGATAGATTGGTTGGAGAATGGGTGGCTGACATTCGCAGCATAGTATGGTATATAGCCATCCCAGACCTATGTTGATGATGAGCTTTGGATACTTCAACCAATGGATAGGACTTACAGCGTGTAGTTGGGTAGAGACGTTTCCAAACACGACTTTGAAAGTGTTACCGCCTACTGCGCGCCCGCTCGCATGTAGAGGCTGGTGTATATCTCCAAAGAAATGTGCCACCCATTTCAAAGCATAAGAGCAGGTCAAATTCGTCCCTCCTGTTAAATGACCACTTTGAACCTGGTCTATGCATCCGCGCAGAATGCTCGTCTGATTTGCGATGGCGCTCACCACGCATCCACCAATGGCACAGTCGTGAGAGTATTCCAAATGACACTTCTCTGGCGGGCTGTCATGTGTGTCAATCCAGTGCCATTGGTAAGAGAAGCGACCTTCTTGGGTGTGTGCATAGGCGTCTGCCCATGCTGCCGAGCGCCCAACGGAGCCGTTATACTGTGGTTCGAGGATCTTAGAAAGGACCGAGGTGGTTTCTGGTGTGAAAAACGTCTCTGCCATAAAGCCGATTTGATTATGAACTGGGTTGACTTAGTAGGGGATATCTCGGGGCATGGCATCACAGCCTACCATCTGTATTCCAAGCTGAAGCTGAAATCAAGAGCGATGCTCCCGCAAATACAACGCTTGCACGCATCATGTCGAAATACCAATGGAATGGCTGTTTAACAGATTTTCTGAAGAAGGTAGGTATCAGGTCCAGTAAGGGGACACGTGCTCCTTATAGCCGTCAAGGCTTGTGGTTGGAAACGAAGAACTGAAGACGGCACACCAGTCACTTAGATGTTAGTAAGCTAGATTGGCAGAAGTCTAAAGTAGATACAGGATGAGTTGGGGCAGGTTTGTGTGCTGTCTTGTGTGAAACTTGGAAACAGCATGTTGGACGTTCAGCGCCTGTGTCGACGCGTGATGCGCTACGATGACGCGCCAGAGCCGGACATGGTTACAGGGTAACGGCACTAGTCTCAGAACGGTCAGGTACCTAAATGTGGGTGCATCAGCCCTTGCCGCCCCACGGCATGTAGCGAAGATGGGATTAAAACGCAACAAGCTTCCTTCATCCTTCAGCAATCATCTCTCATAGAATTTGGTGTTCCCCACTCTTTTCCTTTCTCTCTTCACTTTGCAAGCTCCAAAATAAACACCTATCGTCCGTCGTTGCTTGTTTTGTTTCTTTGTCGATGTTTATTTCACGCTGAGGAGAAATGCTTTTCCTAGGTTGGCAATAACTAGTATGAAGGACGGCCAATTTCTGTTGAATATATCCAACCGCCATTCCCTAGCCTCCGCGCACCAATGCATCACTGGATATGCAACATTATGACGATACGATGTTGAATCTTATTTATTCGAGATAGGCAAACCGACATTTGGGAATCTGTAACCACCTACTCCTCTGGCTCAACATTCACATCAACCCCATATTCATCCACAATCCAAGCGCAAAACTTCTCCCACTTGTTAACCCATTCCTTCAACCTCTGCGCGCGAATGCCCTTGCCGAACATGCCATCCTTGATATCCTGAGTCCAATCTTTTGCAGCATAATCGTCAAGACTAGCCCAACGCACACTGTTCTCTGCAAGGGAGCCCAAACCCTCTAACCCCAGATTCCCCCAGCCTTGGAGTGCCTGCCAGAAATCGTGCGACATACCTGATACACCCTGGCCCAAGATGGTAGGATCATCGTTACACAGCGAACAAGGCACACCGCGTGCAAGGAGCGCTGGCAGAGGGTGTGACATGATGCTTCCACATAGCCTCAACACTTCGTTGGAAACTGGGCAACTTTCCACTAGGATCCGTTTCTCCTTGACCATGTCAATTAGCAGCGGATGCTTGTACAAACTGAAGCCGTGACCGATGCGTCGGGTACCGAGAATAATGGCGTCGAAGAGGTTCTCGTCTACCGAGTCGCCATCACCAAGCGTCTCACCTGCATGGAAGAAGAAGGGTATGTCAACACCTTCTTGTGCGCATGCTTTGCGGAACCAGAAGAGTTCGGGAGCTAGATCTGAGAGAGAACGTCCGAGATCTTCTTGGCCGACAAGGTCGTAACCTGCAATGATTTCGGGGAACTCGAGTTTCATTTCTATACATTGCTTCATGCCTGTTGCGCTGTCAGTAGGTGAAATTGTGCGTTTACTATATTTAAGTATATTGGTTGCATTGATGCTGTGCGACATACTCTCGATAACTTGTTTGGTTCCAAACTGACGGATGGTAGTCCAGATCATTCTCGCGCCCCAAAACTCCTTCCCTTCTTCACTCGCTTTGAACTTCTCAATCTCGTCGGCCATGTGTTCGAGCATGTGAAACCAGTCTTCGTCCCACTTTTCTTTTCCTGTGCTGCGATACGGGGTATAGAAGGCTGACCGAATGTCTACATAGTAGACCCCATCATCAAGTAACTGTTTGCACATATTTCGGATGAATTTGCGGAAAATAGGCTCGTAGTAAATTAATGAGCCAAGAATAGGGAAACACGACATGAACTTCCGCCATACTTCGTTGGGACCTTCATGATGGGAAAGGTGCTCAGAGGGTGTGATGGTAACGCGGGAACGAATCCATTCGACAAAGGCCTTCTTACCTCCATCTGGGAAGCTATCCGCAGCTTGATTGATGGCAACTGGTGTGTTGGCGATATAGCTCTCATTCCAGATGGAGCAGTCAGTTTTGGCCACCTTGGAATACGTGAACGAGAAACGTGTCTTACACCTTGTCTGATCATCGACAATAGGGCCATCGGCTACCAAACAAACCCCTTCAGTCTTAAAGGCTTCTTCAAGCGCCCAATCAAGATCAACCATGGCCTCTAGATGGCAGTGCAACAGGGTGCCTTTTGGCATTTTCTTCACTATTTGCCACAGCTTACTCTTCTCCATGCGCTCCTTGGCAAGTGAGAACATCATACCGGGAAATACATCGGCATGGTCAGTCAGCAAACTGTCTTCGTATTCCTTGGTCCACAGCGTTTGTTGCTCCTCGAACCGGATTTGAGAAACAATAGCGCATGCTTCTTGTGCCATAGGAGAGAGATTTTGGCGGAACAGATAGTCTGCCAATTGTCAGACCCACGGCACTGAGGTATGAAAACGGAAAGCTTGGTCCACAAACCACTTCGCTGTCTCTTCTCTTGCTGGACGAGCGCATCCCGACCCTGTAGATACTGCTGGATAAATGGATCGCTTAAACTCGGGACACCTTCCGCTTGCGCCCACTCCTCGTCGTTTGCAGGCTCGTTCGTCGCCATATTTGCGTCTGTGTGGAGAGTGGCAGTCGAGCGCAAATTGAGGCCGAGAAAGAGTCCGACCAAGGAAATATTGAGTGCGACTGCTGCCTTGGTGTTTTCCACTACTTCCTTCCCGAACGGCGCTAGTGAATGCTGACGTAATACACCTCAGCCTTACCCGAGAAAGCGCGCCTCTACCGGACGGATGCTATTGCGGCAGTTGCAGCGTGTATGCAGGGGAAAACGGCGAAGAGACTGCTGTATAGCTCCAAAAGTCATTTCCACCAGACTCTTGTGAGCTCGTCAGTCGTGCAGCGCTGGCAATCCCACGCGTTATCACGCGCTCGGCCCTTATCGATTGCCTAGCGCGGTGTCGATGCACGCGCGGGGCGCTGCAGCGGTGCAAGTGATGGTGTGCACGGCCGCCTGCGATCTCATAGCGCATCATCTGCACCATACATACGCACCTGCACTTGAACCTGAACCGCTAAACCCCCAGCCTCCGTCGTGTGACTCTCCGGCACGCACTAACAACCTTTTCTCGTCATAGCATCATACAGCCTCGCTAATCTTGTTCAGTGTGCTCGTACTGCTACTCCAGAACCCCCCTACCATCTAACAACCACCGCCTACACAGCACCACAACTTGGCAGGCACAACTCTGCATAACCCACTCATAGAGGTGTAAAAGCGCCTGGCGCTCTGCATTCTTTGCTAGGGCTACCAGCACCACCGTTCACCACTTATGGAGCCCCTTCGCTCTCAGCGATAGGCGCACGAGCTGCCTAAAGTCAACGAGTCCGGGAACTCCACCGCCAGTCTCCCAAGGGACTATGGCCTTCTTCTCCGGACTTTCGAGCTCCATCGGCAGGAAGCTACTCCTGTACGGACTGCGCCAAATCGACATACTCGACAAGGATCCCGCCGACTTTGTAAGCGTTGATGTCGGGAAGCGGACAACACTCGAGGTCCGCGATGTCGGGCTACACATCAAGGTGGGTGATGCAGGTAACAATCTTCACCTCCCACTGTGCTGATGATATTCGTAGAAATTAGTAGCATTGCTACATCTCAAACTACCTCATGAAATCCATCTGTCAAAAGCCCAAGCCTCGCTACTCCGAGTCACGTTCGTCCTCGACTTCGGCGTACCCCGAATATCGATTGAAGTGGATGGTATACAGATACAGGCTAGATTGTTGGAGAATGCCGGCGATGATGTTTCGTCTCATCCTGATCAGCAGCCGGACCCATCACAGCCCTCGCCACCTCGACGGAGAGCCTCGCCACCACCCATCCGAGACGACGCAAGCGACCCTGGCTCGGATGAAGATGACTATGTGCCAACAGTGGACGAGCTAGCAAATTCCTTCCTACGGACGGAACCTGAAGAGGATATACGCGAACTGCAGGAGGAGCTGGCATCTCAGGCGTCATATATGCAAGAGTCAATCGCATCAAGCGATGATGGCGATGACAATTCTGCTGGCATGGGAGCCCCGCTGGCACTTCCGGCATATCTGCGAAACATCCTCAATACCGCTTTGGACCGCCTCAGTATCGCGGTCAATGACATCAACATTGAGCTAGAGGATCAGTCTCCAAAAGATACTCCAGACTCATTGAGGTCGATCCAAAGCTCGCCCGCTGCCCTCAACTTCCATGTAGAACGCGTTGCCATAGACTCGATAACTTCCAAGGATATACGTGTAGATTTGGGTTCAACAACAGCTCCTGACGCTTCCAAGCTGGGCAAACGAAGAATGCGTGTTGAAAACATTTGTGCACGTCTTGTGTCTGATGTGGAGAATTTCGTCTCCTTATCGAGGTTTTCACAACCGCCCTCACCGCTCATGACTCGGTCAGAAGTCTCAACTAGTCAAAAGTCCACTGGGGAACCGTCCGTGAGTCACATGTCCCGTCATTCTACTCGGGGGGAGTCTGTGCATTATACACGAGAAGAGCCCAGTCTTTCTATACACGAAGAACCTGGTCACTCCATACACGAGGAACCTAGTCGCTCTGTACACGAAGAGCCCAGTCGCTCCATGCATGAGGTGTCTGATCGTTCTGTACACGAGGTGCCCGACCGCTCCATACACGAAGATCCTAGCCACTCCACATATGAAGTGCCCAGTCACTCCGTACATGAAACAGAGATAGATCTTCTAGGGCAATCGTTAGATGAGACTCAAGCTAGTCCGGTCGCTTCACTCCTGCAAGCGAACGCAAGCCCGCGCAACATTTCCCCACCCCCTCCCCTATCACCTGATCTGCCGCAGCTAGATCTATCCGTGCACACTGTAGACGATGATCGTTTTGCGGATGCAAACTCAGACGATGGCCCAGACGACGGCTCAGTCAATGGCTCACTCAGCCAATCTCATCAGTTTTTGCCTCCGCGTGACCTAACCGAGAGTAACCTACTTTACGATGACGAAGGATTGCTTGATTATGCAATGCAGAACGGTATGCTGAACTTCCAACTAGAAGATGAGCCGGTCATTGAAGCCTCGGCAGGGGCTCCGAATACCTGGGAATCGAACGATGCTGCTTCAAGTCAACATACTCGGATATCAGAATCCGCTAGTGATGGTTCAGCTTCTGATCTCCCCACTGTGTCTGCCTTGGGACGTTCGTTTCACCCTCCAAGCGTGACTAACTCACCGTCGCAATCGGGATACTCTGAGAGAGTCCGAGGCTCTATTGACAACCTAGTTGTAGCGCACCAACACCCCGCGGAAGATGTACAAAGTCCTGCCAATAGCACACATTCAATTCCTCCATCGCCACCCGCAGAAGAGGATTTGTCTGAATCAAAGTTTTTCACTCATGACGAGGCCGAAAGCATGTACATGAGTGCGGTAAGTGCGGCACAGGGAAGTTCGGTCCAGCAGGGGCATGTCCCTGGAGGTTGGGATTCTTCGTCAGCATCAAGTAAAGATTCTACTTCAGACAAATCTGGACCGATCCCCGAGGGAATGGTTTCTGCTAGCATATTAGCGCCAGCGATAGAGACTGAAGACGGCTGCGAAACTCCGCGTCCACGAAGTCGGCAGAGCTCGTTCTCGTCCTCACACACTGGACGTGCACAAACTCCCGGTCCTGTTCCTCCAGCTGTTCAAAGGCAGGCAAAGCGATTGCTCACGATTGATGAAATTACGATTTGGTTTCCCATGGGCCTCAATGATGGAGACGACGACAGCGAAGGGCATGAGGATGTTACTGAATCGGCGGCTTTTGAGTTCAAGCCATCGAATCTGGGCGAAGATTCGATATTTGCAGAAATGCCTGGATCATTCTCCAATTACGCCTATTCCTCGTCGCATCGCAAGAAGCCATCATTAGAAGCCTCCACTCGGGTGCGAGCCACAACAAAGCCAGTACACCCACCCAACCCTCCAAAGCAGCCTAAGAAACCAAAGGTGCCATCTATTAACGTTGAAGTGGGATCAGTGGCTGGAAACATAGACTTGTCTACAGGTCGCATTATGTTCAGTATGTTCAATCGAATGATGCAAGCCCTGACTGGTGATCCGCGTCAGAAAGAGGACAAGCCCTCAACGTTAGAACCTGCTGCAGGCCCCAAAGAAAACACGGCCGATTTTGAGCTGGCTGTTAAGCAAATAGCCTTCTCGTGGCTTGAAAATATCACTACAGAATCTGTTCAAGAAGGACATGTGCCTAGTTGGCAACTCGATCCTAAGCCGGTGGATGCTATATTAAGAGTCCACCTCTCGAAGGTCCTCGTCACCCAACAGAGCATTTCAAAGGAGTCGCGATCCCAGATACGCATTGGGAGATTTGTCCTTGCATCTTTGGATCAAGATATCATTTCCTTCCAAAGTCTGAGACCGAAATCCAAGAGAATGAGCGGTACTGTGGCAGAGCAGCTCAGCAGTGATGTGGAAGTGGACTTTGTGCGAGGGAAAGACGATCGCATTACCGTCGTGACACGACCTGTCAAGGTCATGTTTGACGTACAAAAGCTGGATGACGCACTTGGCTCATTCGGTGGCTTCAGCGGTATGCTAGAGCTAAGTAACTCCTTCAGCTCTGCCAGCGCCTTGCAAAGTCCTGTCATGTCTCCATCACAACCTCGGCCCCGTGGGGTTCATTTCGGTAATGGATTGCCACCTCCAGCAAAAGAATCCGTGGCACCCGCACCACCCGTTAATGGCCCCAAGATCCAGGTGCAATTTGGTGAAGTTTCTTTCACACTCAAGGGGAAAGCATGTTCTGTGCAGTTGCAGACTACATCAGTTCGCATTGCTGTACGTCAAAGCAATGTCCGTCTCAAGGTCTCTGAGCTCCAGCTCATAGGACCCTACACGGAAGCCGGTCAAGGCAACGCGCCTTTCATCGCAGAGCTGAAAGGAACTACTCTCAACTTTCTCTTTGCCCCCGAAGAGACTGATTTGACAAGACTGATTTCCATGATAACGCCATCAAAGGACCCGTACGAGAACAATGACGACATCCTGATCGACACGCTGTTACGCCAACGGAGAAAGGGCTCGGTTCTTCGGATTGAGTTTGCTGAAGTTGGAGTCCGTATCTCTGACCTAGAGCAAATGAAAACCTTTGAAGCACTTGGCGCAGAGTTGGCGCAGTTATCCAAAGTAGCCAAGTACCTGCCTGACGATGACCGACCAGGTCTACTAAGTTTAGTGTCGGTAAAGACATTAGACATGCGGGTAGTCGTAAACGAGAAGCTTGGAGATCTTTCTGTTACCTTACAAGACAGTGCGCTGGCTCACGTAGGAGTTCCTGCTTTGTTGGCTACTGAAGTCGGAAAGGCAATTGTGTGTCGGGATGACGAAGTGCTGATCCATGAAGTCGTAAAGATGCGCCCGTCGGAACAGTTACCCGCGATTATGTTGAGGATGGTTGGTGATGAGATGGAGCCTGTGGCGAAGGTGAAATTCTACAATCTCTGCATTGAATATCGAGTGACGACTGTCATGGCCGCTCTGGGCATCTCGGAAGATGGCACGGTTGACGATATTGCGTTGGGCATTGCATCAAGCGTTGCAACCATTACAGGCGCACATTCGCCTCAGACACTCAGTCGACAATCTTCACAGGCAAACCCACCTTCTGGACCTACCGCGAAGCCACTGCAGCTCGATCTTCTAATGAGAAATTGCGCGATCGGTCTGAATCCCCGAAAAACTTCATCGAAAGGCCTTTTCGTACTTACAGAGGCACACATTGCGGGCAAACAGGCAAAGAATAACTATTCAGTCACTGTGGAACTTCGCAAGGCTTCAATGCATGCCATTGACGATGTGGCTCGTTTGGAAGACGAACACGAGCCAAAATCACCAATCTCAATCATGAACCGTCAACTCCATGAACTCAGCGAGCTGGGGTATGTGTCCCTCAGCTCAATTTCGGCTGCTAAGGTGTACGTCAACATTGCGGGCGACGGGAAAGAACAGCCACAGTTGGTAGACATTGAGTTCAAGAACGAGCTCTTCGTCATAGAGTCATGTGCAGATTCAACACAGACTCTTATTGCCATTCTGAACGGCCTGCAACCGCCATCACCACCCTCGACAGCTGAGCAGTACCGAACAGTTGTGCCGCTACAGCAGATGATGGAATCTTTTACAGGTGACGCGTTGGCGCAGGACGAAGACATAGAAGCCGATGACTTCATGAGCAATGCCGACCTTGTAGAAGACGATCTCCCAACCAATCTTGAATTTGTTGGAAGCATCTACAATTCACAATCTTTGCCAACTGAAGAAGAGATGGGAGATAGTCTGCTTGGTGAGGACGACCTGGGTGCATTGGCGACACCTCCCACCACCCGCCAACGTGGCGAACCGGCATTACTGGAAAGTTTTCAAGAGAAATATGAGATCACACAAGGCGAAGAAGACTTTGACTTTAGCGAAGAGTATTTCAGGGACGCAGACGCGGAGCAAAAGGGCAAAGCTCGAAAATGGGATTCTGCCAAGAACCAGTACCATCTTTCGAACGAGTTCAAAGCTCCAGATGCGCCACTCAAGGTTCGTGTTCGCGACGTAAATGTCATCTGGAATCTCTACGATGGTTATGACTGGCCACGGACGCGCAGTATCATCAGCCAGGCTGTAGATGATGTCGAAGCCCGTGCCGAGGAGCGACGACGGAGAGTCAGAGAAGAAGATGAGGATGATGACTTTGTCGAGGAAGATTTTTTGTTCAACTCCGTATGGATCGGTGTTCCTGTAAAAGACGAGAAGGGGGCTCTTGCCCGGCGTATCAACCACGATATTGATGATCTAGCCAGCGAGACCGGGAGCTATGCCACCTCGACGGCGACACGCTCTACAGGGGCTACTACTCGACCACGTGGCACAACCAAGTCTAGACGTCGGCTCAAGCTGGAACGAAGCAAGCACAAGAAGATCGCATTTTCACTTGTAGGTGTTGCAGTCGACCTTATTGTTTTTCCGCCGGACTCGGGAGAAACGATCAATTCAATAAACGTGCGCGTGCAAGACCTTGAGGTTTTCGACCACGTGCCTACGTCGACTTGGAAGAAGTTTGTTACTTGCGCAATTGATCCAAGCACACGAGAGCTCATTCGCCCTATGATCAATCTTGAACTCGTTACAGTCAAGCCAGTCACGGACCTGGCAGCATCTGAGCTCGTAATAAAGGTAGGTTCAAAGTGTGATAGGTAGACGGCGTATCCTAACAAGGTTAACAGGTCACCATACTTCCGCTTCGACTACATGTAGACCAAGATGCTCTGGATTTCATCACACGCTTTTTTGAATTCAAGGACGATTCCGTACCGGCTGCACCTCCAGCTAGTGATCAGCCATTTATCCAGCGCCTTGAAGTCATGGCCGTCCATTTGAAGCTCGATTACAAGCCAAAGCGTGTGGACTACCGTGGTCTTCGTTCTGGCCACACTACCGAGTTTATGAACTTTTTGATACTTGATGGCTCTGACATTGTCCTGCGGCACGCAATCGTTTACGGTATCACATCGTTTGATAAGTTGCACAAGACACTAAACGATGTGTGGACGCCAGATGTTAAAGAAAATCAACTTCCGGGAGTTCTTTCTGGGTTGGCCGCTGTGCGACCGCTAGTAAATGTTGGCTCTGGACTCAAAGACCTTGTTGTCATACCGATGCGGGAGTACAAGAAGGACGGCCGCATCGTTCGTAGTTTGCAAAAGGGCGTCTACGCTTTCGCCAAGAATACGACTTCCGAAGTAGCACGTTTGGGCGCAAAGGTAGCAATCGGGACCCAGAATCTGCTCGAAGGTGCAGAGGTTTTCCTCAACCCCCAAACGGCCTCACCCGGTCGCCACCAATCCCACGAATGGGATGGTGAAGATCCAAACTCTGATTCTGAAGAGCCACGTGCAGTTTCAAACTACGCGAACCAACCCATTGGTGTACGGGCCGGCCTACGCAGCGCAGCTAGACATCTCGAGCGCGACTTGCTCACTGCACGCGATGCCGTCATTGCCATCCCAGCAGAAGTCATGGAAGAAGGCAGCGGAACGGGAGTAGCAAGAGCACTTGCTAGGCATGCACCCACGGTTGTCCTACGCCCCGCGCTCGGTGCAACAAAGGCACTCAGCAATGCCTTGCTGGGTGTCGGCAACGCGCTTGATTCCGACTCGAGACGCAAGATTGAAGACGTAAGCTATTATCCCGTGTTTGGTATCCAAGATGCCCAATAGCTAATGATGACTGCAGAAATACAAATCTTATTAGACGGTTCGGACGTTGGGGTTATTATTTGCCCCCATGTGTTTTTTGGGACCACGAACGAAGCAACTTTTTTTGCCTTTATGGCTATACCCTACTCTTTGATTATTATCATTATTATTGTTTTTTTGGAATTTTTTGATCTGGTCAGATTGCGTGCATAGCGACGGATGGGAGTTATAGGATGCAAGGGCTGGAAGGAGGGGGCGTTATATGTTGATTTCTTTTATTTACGCATGTTTTTGTTACTTTTTTCCTGCTTTTTGTCTTTTTGTTCAAATACTAGCATGAAGTAAATGCCATTGTGCCTTTTTTTCCTCTCTTATTTCATTTACTGGAATAACTTCGTTTTTCCTTGCAGTCAGTTTTAAGATATCTCACCCGCCCCTCACCCTTTTCCAAGACTAGAATGAGAGATACAGTTTAGATACTTTTTGGAACATGTTTTTTTGGGATATTCGTCATTGCATCATGCGATTGTCGTTTTCTCTTTTTTCACATGCTCTCGTTTCGGCATAAGGTAATGACACTAGGCGAATGGGAAGACGGATTAGTGATCTGAGAATCAGCCCCTGCTTATGTTTTGGACCGAGGAAGATGGGGATATTGCCGAGATCACGGGACGTGGGTGGGTTAGGGTCTATATAAGTATAAATGCCAAGGGAGGCATAAGAATTTGCGGAAGCATCGGATAAGATTGCTGCTTCTCAATCACAAAACAGTCGATTGCAGGGATAATGAGAATCAAGTGAGTTATATGTTCGTTATTTGAATCGTAAATACTAAGGAGCAACCAGATATCATTCAAAATGGTGTCGCTGGATACGCTGCCCGTGAATAAAGGCGAAATACAAGATTTAGTAGGTGTACCTGAAGCCCTTCTGGTCGCCATCCTATTGAGATTTGTTAATATTCGTTCGGACAGATATAGCAAATAAGAGGCTAGACTTACATCGTTGTACTCGAGCTCAATCTCTCCACGATCGGCACGCTTGTTCAAGCTCCATGACCTCAGTGTGATGAGGCCGACAAGGACAATTGACAGCAGGCAGCAAGCAATGCAAGCGTAAAGACCTGGCTTATAGTGGGGCGCATCTTGCGTCCTGAAAACAAGACCTCCTGCAATACCGCCTACTCCGCCCATACCGACAAGAATGGCAGAGCAGAAAGCACGCTTCCACTGGCCTCTGATGTTGTTTGCCTGGTACGACATGGTTGCTGGGATGTTGCTGTTGGCTCCGGCAGTGGTGAGGAAGACGCCAAAGTATCTGATGTTGGCGTTCTTGTGGAAGCCCATGATGGGAAGTCCAATAAGGCAGAGTACCATGTTGGCGATAATGATGGGCCCACGGATGCGGTACTTGTCGCCGAGCCAGCCAGTGGCGTACATGACAATAGCGGCCAAGGCGTACGGGGGAGCAACCAAGCACTGAGCTGCACCGACTGAGAAGCCCATGTTTTGTGTCAGAATGATGGGAAGAAAGTAGGCAAGAGCATAGGTGACAGTGGTGGTGTTGAAGAAGATCTGGGCAAGTTAGTATGCGAGGGCATGAATTTCTACTGTGTTGCTTGAAAACATACCAAGGCGAAACCCCAAATCTTGATGTCGGTTCCACCCTTGAGGAACCTCCCAAGAGAGAATGGCTCGGGCTTGGCATCACCACGATCTCTGTTGACACGGTCGATGATGAACTTGGCTTCTCGCTCGGTCAAAAATTTCCAACTCCTGTGTGCCTTGTCTGGGAAGTCGACGAGGGCCCAGTAACCGACGATACCAAGGAAGCATGTAAGCGCGCCTTCGATGATGAAGATCCCTGCAGGAAGAATTAGACGTCAGTCTCTTTTGGGGGTGCGGTTATGAAGAAGGAACTCACAGCGCCAGCCGTTCAAGCCCTGACGTCCCTTGAGCTGCATCAGACCATAGGCGAGGATACCAGCACAAGCGGAAGCTAAACTGCCGAGAATGTAGAAGACCGAGTACCGCTTTCCGATATCGAAGCGAGTGTCTGTAGGGGTTGTCAATATTGGCCTAAGGATCTGTGGAAAGGAGCATGCGTACACCATGTCGACAGCAGATAGACACAACTAGGAAAGAAGCCAGCCTCTAGCACTCCCAGCAAAACTCGCAGGCCAGCCATGGTGCCATAGTTGTTTGCAAAGCCCATGCCAATCATGACACCACCCCATGCTATTACGATAAAGGAGAGGAAGTTGCGTGGTCCGAGGTAGCGGCAGATGACGGTGGCTGGGGGCTGGAAGACAATGTACGAGGCGAAGAAGACGATGGTGACAATGGAGTAGTGGGAGATTGTGCCCTCGAGGACATAGAGTTTCAATTCCGCAGTCATACTGGGAGGGGGTTAGCTGGGTATTTAAGCAACAGCAGCAAGTATAGCCGGTACGGACCCAGCAATGGCAGCAGCACTCAGATTGGTGCGATCCATCAAACTGATGCAATACAGGACACCGACAGTCACGACAAGGCGGCGATCGATGCGGTGGATGATCTTTCTCTGTTCGCGCTCGGTAAACTCGCACTCGTAGGGGACGCCATCCTGGGAGCCGTCGACATTTTCCACAAGGGACACCTGCCGCTTCTCGAGGATATCATCGTTATGTGAGACCTGGTTGGGGGAGGCCATTGTGGATTGCCAGGGCGGTGAGTGGAGGAGAGAGGTGGGCAGGCTGAAAAATAGGGACGGGGGTGCATGATATATGTACGCATGTAGACATTTTGTCTATGTGTGTACATATGGACATGACTATCCCGGCCCCAGCTCCTGGCATTTGCCTGCCTGCTCCCCCGCCATGGCAGCCTGCCAAGACAAGCAAGCGCAATGGGGAGCGTTCTTTCTGTGTCGAGAAAAGTACCGAGGCACAGGGCAGCATGGGCTCTACGCCGCCCGCAAAAGAAGAAAGAACGCCGCGGGTAGGCACAAAACACTGGCTTTACGGAAGGCGGAAAAGCTGGGGAGACGCTTGGCATGTGGGGACCCCGCATGCTGCTGTCCCCCGTCTCGTCCGCCGTCGACAACAAGACATTCCAAGCAAAGCCGACGTTGTCTTATGCTCATCGACGCCTGTCTTGTTATCCACCGTATCCATGCCGCCGACAGGAACGCGACGAGCCGCACGCAGGATTGACCGAGCTGCCACCGACCGCTCTCGTTCTTTGTCCGCCCTCTTGACGCTGTGTCACCCGGCCTCCTTGGAATGTGTTTCGACTACACGCGCGGGGTAGTCTCGCTTGCTGCTGCTCCACTGGGCCCATTTTCACGCTCAACATCTTGTCCCGACTTGGATACTGCTCCGGAAGGCGTTGTCCCATGTGTGGCCACGAGCCGCATGCGAACAAGGGCGCATTGCTGCCATGGGCCGCGCCCCAAGCCGCCGGTCCCTTGGCATAGACATCGATGTGTCGTCATCTGGAGCCTTTGAAGTGCTCCCATCGTTGCCTCTTCGTTTAATAGATGTACGCGTCCTGTTTGTGCAACCCTGTGGACCATGACAAACATGCAGGAAACGTCGAGTTTGTCTCTTTGATACAGCATCAACTGGCGCGCCTTTTGGATACTCGGGCATTCGGGACACTCGGGGTGATACTAATGACCTGCAGGGTGCCGGTTGCTGTTAGTTAGTCAACTCGGCGCCATACCGCCCTTTGACAGCTGCACTGTCCTCTCCCACATCCGTATTCTGGCCTGATTCGCCTACCGATGTCCCTGTCGATTGATCAGCAGTCTCCACGATCTAGTCACGCATGCAAAAACTCCGGCTAAGGAACTCCTTTGATTTCCGTCACTACGCAGGGTGCCCTCAGCAATACTTGTTTGCGTTTAGATCTGTGGCGCTATCACCCCACCCCATGCATCTTACTGGCTTTTGCAGAGCGCTCGTATCCCATCACGTCCACGGACTGGAACAATTGTGAGGCCTCCATCAGCCATCACAACTGATAATCTCTACACATCGAGCTGAGTCGTCAAGTCTAGCCTACAGTCTCGACCCATTCTTGATCTTTGACGCGAGACTAGGGCCCCAACTGCATTTGCCAAGCGGCCATCTTAACTGTGCCCTGGAAAAAGCGCCACCCTAGTCACAAAAAACCCAAGTGTAAATGCCCTACGAACCAGCCCTTTACAAGTGGCGATCCTCGTCTCGTATCCTGGTGGTTGGGAGCCCCCAATGCGCCTCTACCCCGGATTCTCCCTCGACTACAGATTTAGATAAACAAGTCAGTCTCCTTGTTCATCCAATCACACCTCATAAGCTGGTGCACTAGCCGAGGCATTTGCAGTCTCTCAACACCAAGCCGTCTTAGGAGCCCTCTCAGATGATGCCTACAAATTCCGACCAACACCCTTCACCCCTCCATATTCGTATATCTAAGCTGAAATAAAAGACTCTTTGCCAATCACAATGGGCTAATGGGCCGAGGCACTTTCCCTCAATGCCCTACAGCCACAATACCCACCGGCTTGCAGTGTTGAATCTACGGCGACCAACAATCATCCAAGAGATGAGTGTCTTGGAAACGAAATCAAAGGGTACAGGGTGCAGATTGTCCAATGGGATTGTCAAATGCTGTTTACGTTCCGAGGCATGGAGCTCGAGACATGGGGTAGCCAAGGTAGTGGGTGCATGGCTGGTAAGCCACAATTGCTAGGCGTTGCCAGGGAGGTGGTTGGGCTAATATGGTCGCCCATATGGCCAGAAGCTTGTCTTTGTATCTCGTCATGCTAGTGTTCTAGACAACTACTTCTCTTATCCATCTGCACTTCTGTCATTGTGATGTAGTATGAGGTGAGTTGGACAGAGACCTGATATCTCGAGATCTCTAAACAGACATTTTCATGTTACATCTTTTGTCGAAGCTGTTTAGAAATACACATCTATTGCTCAACTTTCTATCAATACTTGCTCACCGCCTTATACCAATAGTGTTACAGCGTACGGCCACCATTGACGAAAATACTCCCATCCTTTACTCTATTGCGAACTCGTATCCAAAGTCCCCCCCGACTGCCGCCTACAACCTAAACTTCTTACCCGCTTCCGTCGTCGGAAAATACTGTGCAGCGTTTCCCTTTTGCTCCGGCATCTGGAACCTCTTCATCACAGTCGTATGCAGCAGATACAACAACGCCATCCTAACCGTAACAGTGCCGTTCGTATCATCCAGCACCTCACTGTGCTTGACGGGATCCGAGTAATTAATAGACGGCTCCACCATCGTATACACGAACGCCAGCCGCTCCGGTTCTCCGGGTTCCGCTACATTCATCTTCTTGCCCTTGTACACAATCGCAAAGCGAAGAAAGATAATCTCGTCGCTGCTGACTAGGAACCCGTATTCCGTGTTGCACTCGAGCATCCAGCGCGCTATGTCGCCTAACCACACACACACAGATCTCTCAGTCTCTCATCTCATCGTCAAGGGTATGGAAGAAGGGGGGGAGATATGTCTTACCTAACACGCACCGCAGACTCCCCCACGTATTCCTTCCCGCATTCCTGATCGCCGCTGTCAACGCACCCGGTCTTCCACCTAGATACTCCGCATGGCCCAGTAACCTTACTTCATCCTTCCCATTCGCAGCCTTTGAACGTACAATAAAAGCGGGCTTAATTCCTTTCGCAGACAGTTCCTCATTCTGTGCGCCGCTCTCGAGCCAGATGCCCTGAGGCATGTCGTCGCCATAGATATCCCGCATAGCCTGCGTGGTAAGTAGCGTGTTGTAGATCTTCTCCATGGGCTCCAGGACTTCGCGGATGAAGTGCGATTCTAGACTTGCGGGAGCGGGGGATGAGGACGGGGAGGGGGACGTAGTATGTGGCAAGTCGACTTGGAAACCCCGGAGTTGGCGGAAGGCTTGGATGCATTTTTCGTGCTTGAGAAGCTCGATTGCTTCGGATTTGAAGGCGTGCCAGCGGTAGATGTAGCCTAGGAACCAGTGGCGTTTTGCGTCGGCGGGGAGGAAGAGGGGGGCGTTGGGGCTGGGTTCGGGGAGGTAGTCGGAGCGGAAGAGTTGGAGCATTGCGGCTCGGGCGGTGAGGTGCTTCATTTCTCGGGGTTGGCTTAAGCGGAGGAAGGTTCGTGGTGGGTCTGGAGAAGCATTTTCTGGGGAGCCATGGCGGGACTTTGGTTTCGTGGCGCTGACGGAGGAAGGGCCTGGAAGGGTCGCGGTTGGGGGTTCACGTCTGCGTGTACTTGGTTGTCCGGTGGGCGAAGAGCTTGCTTCTCGCTTTCTAGACTAGCCGTCAGTATGGAAATCATAACAGGATGATACTAGGTATCTCTTTTACTTATTTTCAGACTGTTCGTCGGTCTGGCCAGTTTCACTTGTGTCACCAAGTGCGTTATCGATCATTTGCTCGTAAAGATTGACTGCATTGAGCGGAATCTACTCGCTGGCTTCTAGCAACATGTGTGCTATGTGAATGTCTTGAATCCTGGTAATATCCACGAATGATATTAAGAGGCTTCGTTGCTGCGCAGTCAATTGTTCTAACAAGTTGTCGGTTTCCGGTGAATGTTCTTTTTCAAAAGACATGGCGAATGTGAGTGTTGTGTTACGAGAGTATTGTTAGCGATGGGATGATTGAAGGGGGTGCTTAATGATGAAGACGACGAATGCAATGATGGATGTCAGTGGAAAGTGGATGAGCATAATATACATTATCCATTTCGGTCGGCTCTCGTGTGCCTTCTCCAAGAAAAGTGATTTAGAAGGGTCGGTGCTTGTTATTGGAAGGTTACATGCCCGCTCTTTACGTATTCGGGTGGTTCCTGCAATACTAGTGCCCATCTCAACGACACTCCACTAGTTGTTGGCGAGTTTGATACTCATCTCATGTAGGCAAAGTCGCCATTTCTCCTCTCTGAAGCTGAGCATCTGAGATACACCTAAATGATATTAAAACTGGTCGCTGGATGGCATGTCTACATGACCCTGACATGTACATCATTGATCTGCTAAGCGGCAATAAAACCAATAATAAAATAGATCACGCGATATATTTCCATCACGATATTAGAATGTTGAGTCACTGGTGTGCAACCAATTTGAATATGAGATATCGTAATGAATTGAGAGCGCTAGTTGCGACACCATGCCATATCCCAAAAACACAAAATAAGGCAAAGCATATGTTCAGTAGAACAGTAACAGCATAAGTAAAATGTGTAGACACAACATTCCAAGGACATTCAAGGTTACAAGGAAGAAGTGGGCACCCCAGGAATCTTCCAAGCTTTAACCGAACCGTCCCGCAGCTGCGCTCCGCCTATGACACCATCGCGCGGAAGAGAGCCCCGACATCTTGTTTACACCACCAAAGCATGATTCCAATGCGGGCGCGTCCAGTGTCCCTTGCAGCCGTTTCAACGACTCCCTACCCGCCAATCTGAAGCAATGTACGCATTGACACTAGCTGGCATACCAATCGCCATAGGCGCAAACGAAGCCGTGCACCAACAACGGCTTCTAGACGAAGAAGCAGAGGCCGAAGAGCGCCAGGAAGAGTTTTATCTCGACGTCTTTTGCGATGCGAAGAGCAGAAAGAAAGATGAGGTGCACGGTGCGATTGTTGTCTTGAAAGACGGAAAGGTACAGCATGACATCCGCTTCATATACCAGCGCGACACATTATCACATGAGGGAAGAAGAAGGCAGAGTGCTAAGGAACATACAGGTACTCCTCTGGCCCAAGGACCCAAAAACAGGTCTCCCAAAACCCGGCCCAAGCAATGAACCAGCACCCCACCCATTCACAGGATTCTACCTACCCTTTCCCTCCTCTGAACTCCCGCACCGCCCCATGCCCGCAGCCCCAGTCCTCGGTCTCGTCAGCACCGTGCCACCATCTTCGCATCCATTCCCTTCATCACCAGAATCATCAGCCCCGTCTACTCCGTCTCCCGCACCTAAAACCGCTCCAAGACCTGCGAAACCAAAACTAAACTGGGTTTATGCGCACAAAAAGACACGCGAGTTGCGCTATGGACCGCGATCTGAAGCGAAGAAGCATAAAATCGGGCCGTGGGATTGGACGGAAGATGAACAGGGGCTGACCCTGGATGATGAGGAGTGTCTTGTTGCTGTGGAAGAGGAGAAGGGAGGGTATGGATGGGCCGTGTATTGGGATCGGGAAGATGATTGTTTGAAGGAGGTGGGGGTGGGGCAGGAGAAGAGGGTGCTGAGATGTAGTTTGGAGAGGAGGCTTGTTGAAGAGAAGAGGATTAAGGGGTTGGATGAGGATTGAGGTGATGAGGGAATGCTATTGCAAGCAAGGAGATGACAGAGTGGGGGAGTTTTTGGAGAAAATCTTGATGAAGTTCAGGCATCACTTGTTGCAGGCTTGATTTGATTCGCTGACGTCGGTAGTCCTACAGATATATTAACAAGTAACGAGGATATACTAGTGATTGGTACATGAGTACTTGTCTCCAGAACATATTCCCGCGGGTTTACATGGTACGGTTGTGATATACTGATTATGGAACAGTAGACGGTGACTACTGTCGTGTATATTGTACGTGACGAAGACAGTTGTATATAGTAGCAGCACTCATGATTTTTCCCAATATGACATGCACATAATTGCCATGTCGGGAATTTCTCCCATGTCCCCATACTAGCCACACCCGCCCATCCCTCCCTCCCATCATCCGATCGCAGAACAATCTCACCAGATCGTACCACATCCGACCCTCACTCGTACCGCGATTCCAAGGAAAGCGCATCGATCACCCGTGCGCGATTCGATTTGCGCCATCTGGTAAGCGGGTCGTCGCGCGCGCGTCGCATGGGATCCCTGTTGCTGGGCCACACAGGCGCGCGTGGTTTCCCCGGCAAGACGCAGGGACACATCCACAAACGCATAAACACAACAACACACACGCCCTATTAGTCCATTTAGTAGTGGGGGTGCTTTGCCAACTCGAACATTTGACAACTACGTTTTCACACTTCTTCACCTCCCCTTTATTTAACAAACATCGGTACAAAGAAGTGCAACCTTTCTTCTTTATTCCTTTACGAGACCTTGCTACATTTTCCTACACCCTTTTTTTGCGGCTAGTAGCTGGATCTCAGGGTAGTCTTTGCAGTGGATACCGGACTTTTCTGCGGTACTTGGTAGCAGCTTTGTGTAGAAAACCTCCTAACGGCGTGTACGACTTTGAACGACAAACATAATGGCCCTCTCATCGAATGGACGAGGAAACGGACCAAACGCCACTGTTGCTCAACGGTACGTCTCTCTCTCTCCCTCCTTCACCTTCGCCGTCACCGCACACACGGAAACTAAACTCACATTTCCCAGCCTCCAAAAGGAGCTCATGGACATCATGACCAAGCCCACACCCGGCATCACAGCCTTCCCCGACGACGAAAACATGACAAAGTGGACCGCCACCATCGACGGCCCCGCAGACACACCCTACGCCAACCTCGTCTTCAAACTGTCAATGGAATTCGCAAACAACTATCCCTACAGCCCACCAACCGTGCTCTACAAAACCCCCATCTACCACCCCAACGTCGACTTCTCAGGCCGCATCTGCCTCGACATCCTCAAGGACAAATGGAGCGCAATCTACAACATCACAACCGTGCTATTGAGTCTGCAGAGTTTGCTGGGCGAACCGAACAAGTGAGTGGGAATATACATGTTGTATTCAAAAAAAAAGATGTTATATATACGGAAAACTAACAAAGTGTGCTTATAGCTCAAGCCCTTTAAACGGCCAGGCCGCTGAACTCTGGGACAAGGACCCTGCAGAGTACAAGCGTCTTGTATTGGCTCGCCACAAAGCACCCGAGGAACTAGACGCGTGATGGATTTGTATATGTTACATAGAATCGCGGGCTATTCCTTTTTCATCTTTCCGTTCCAATACCCCTCCCTCCCCATATTTTTTTGTTATACCAAGTCGGGGTTTTGCGGATAGCGGCTTTCTCTCGGCCTCCGGTTGTATTTTCCCTCTCTGGTTTTGTTGAGCCGGCAGATGGGGGGGGGATGGCAAGCTTTGTTTGTGGTCCCGGCAACATGTGAGAAATGGGGTGGACCATTCGGTCCGGTTTTCTTTTTAACCCTTCTCTTACTCCGTGTTTGGCGCGCACTTTATACTGCTGATTGAACGGAGGGGGTGGATGGGGGAAGTTCGGGTTTGGTGGGTCTTTTTTTTTCTTGAGCAAAAGAAGAGATGATAATAAGGCGTTGGTGGCGTGAGTCGAGAGTGGGGGGTTGGGTTGGGTTAGCAAACAGAGTTTCATGCAGCAAGGCTGGGGTTTTTTTTATGAGTAGAAATCGGGGACTTTGCGGTCTATATACTAGGCAATTTGGCAATGCGATTGCTTTCTTGTTCTTTCTTCTCTGACTTTTTCTGGGGCCATAGAGGACTTTTGTCCGCCGGCAGTCAGCAATAAGGCTTTCCTTAGTCTTGGCCCGTCTCCCCTTTGTCTTGTGCTAAGGAGGCATGTAAGATCAGGGATTGACGAGAAAACTCAACTACTTACTACGCGTCAAGTAGTTCCATGAAAGTGTGCAGTGCCTATTACGTGTATGTGAGTGCAAAAGCCCGTATTTCGCCAAAATACGGAAGACATGGCTACATACCAGTTTTCCTTAGATTGGAAATCATAGTTTGAAACCGATGGCATGTTTATTTTCCCTTTTTGTTTTTTATTTTGTCGCTAAACGGGCCTTTGTATAGTGTATTTTTTGAGGCAATATCACATAACTACATAGATATTATATACAAGTATGTACCGTATAGCTATGTATGATAGTGCTGCAGCAGGATGACGCACCCCCGGTCAACAAAGCTAAAGCACATAGCCTTGATCCACTCGAAAAACAATGGGGGGGATGCAGGCAAGCCCCCTCACTCGGGGAAGTGGAATGAACTGCAAAGGCAATGTTTCCCGGAGTAAAGGAAAAAGAGCGTTCGGGGGAAAGCATATGGATACATGGTCATCCTGCAGCAAAGAAAAGATTCGGTAGAGCACACAGTAAACGGGGCATGCTGTTTATGTGCGTACAGTGCACGAAAAGGTCACATGAACAAAAGCTTGTCGGTGGCTCATGCGCGCCCGCGAACGAGGGAGCGAAGCGATGCGAGCAAGTGAGAGCAGAAAGGCCATCGAGGCGTGGGCTTTCGGCACAGTGTGAGCATGAGCAAATCGACGGCGTTATTCGTCGGGGGGGGGGGG